CAGTAACACAGGAAGGTAAAAAAAAAAATGGTCAAGTTCTAGAACAATCAATGAATCACTATGCATGTTTAAATACTTGGTAACAACATTATAATTATGTGCACTGCATGAGTAAACCTTCGTGGCCGGATTCCACCGTAGATCAGTGGAGTCAGGGCCTGTACCGGGTGTGTCTTCAATCTGAGTCACTCTGACGCACAGTTAGCACATACAGCACTCGCTCAATCCCCATCTCTCAATCTCAGCAGGCAAACTTACTCCTGTGCGTCAACTGATTTACCTGGGGCCATGAAAAAGTCAAATAATAATTAAAAAAACACTCTTTGTTACAACCATAAAGCCTTGCATTTGAACAGAAATAAAGTTTGACAGGCCAATAGGTGAGAGTGGGGTAAGATGTGCCACCATAATTTGCTTTCCTTTAGCCAGGAAGAATTAAGAAGCAGCAAAAACAAAGGCAATTAATTATATTTCTGAATGTCTGCTTAACAACTGAAATGAGAAGAAAGCATTTATAATACAATATAATATAATACGCCTAGACACGACCACAACGCATCCCTGAAGTGTCAGCAGAGGTTGTGTCTACTAGACTCTCCCCTGTAAGGTCTCGTCGACACGACAGCCATCGGCACTGATCCTCTCCATACCGGCGTGACTTTGATCTTCAACCAGATGGAACTGGATAATATTCTGATTGTTCCAATCCAATCTGACTTCTGACCTATAATGCTGCATGAATCATAATCATACACTGTTCGTTCGTTGGCCAGAGGAGAACTGCCCTCCTGACTGAGCCTGGGTTCTCCCAAGGTTTTTTCTCCATCCTGCCACCTGATGGAGTTTGGGTTCCTTGCCACCTTCGCCGTTTTCCACCTTTGTTGCTTTGGCTTTTGGCTTGCTAGTTGGGGACATTAAAATTAACATTTAATTTAATATTCAACAATAATATTGATCTGCCTGTATTGACACCATTATATGAGAACTGAACTGAGCTGGACTATGACTATGGTTTTCTCCAGAGCGGCTACAGTATATATAAATGAACTAAATTAATAACTTTTTTAAAACATAATTAAACATCACTGAACTTACTTAAGCTGGACTCTGACGCTATTTTCTTCTGGAAACAAACTTTGTTGCATTTTCCTGTTATCTCTGTAAAGCAGCTTTGAAAAAAATCTGTATTGTAAAAAGCACTATATAAATAAAGTTGACTTGACTTGATAATACGTTTTGATGAGGTTATACATTTACATTTACATTTAGTCATTTAGCAGACGCTTTTATCCAAAGCGACTTACAACTGAGGACTAAACCAAGCGAGTCATCGTGAAGAGGCAAAAGCAACGCAAGAAGTGCTCAAAATACAAAGTTCAGACATAGCTCGGAGTAGCATAAGCCAGGCAAGCGAGGATTTAGAGGAAAGGATTTTTTTTTTTTTTTTTTTTTTTTTTTTTTTTATTAAGTCAAGTGCTCCCGGAAGAGATGAGTTTTCAGTTGTCTTTTGAATGTTGTCAGGGATTCTGCATTCCGGATGAGGGTGGGGAGATCATTCCACCAGCATGGAACCGTGAATGAGAATGTTCTGGAGAGTGATTTTGTGCCCCGCTGTGATGGTACCACGAGCCGTCGCTCATTGACCGATCGTAGGCTTCTGGTAGGGATGTAGACTTGTAGTAGTGAGTGGAAGTAGGAGGGAGCTGAACCTGTGGTCAATCTGTAAGCAAGCGTCAAAGCCTTGAACTTGATGCGAGCAGCGAGTGGTAGCCAGTGCAGAGAGATGAGCAGAGGAGTGACGTGGGCCCTTTTGGGCTCGTTGAAGACCAGACGAGCTGCAGCATTCTGGATCATTTGTAGAGGTTTAGTTGCACATGATGGAAGTCCAGCCAGAAGAGCATTGCAGTAATCAAGCCTAGAAATGACCAGGGCCTGGACGAGAAGTTGTGTTGCATGCTCAGTTAGGAAAGGCCTGATCTTCCTGATGTTGTGCATAGCAAACCTGCATGATCGAGCTGTCTTTGTAATGTGGTCTGTGAAGGTCAGCTGATCATCAAAGATTACTCCAAGATTTCTGACCGACCTTGATGGGGTGATTGAGGATGGATCTACCTGGATAGTGAGGTCGTGCTGTAGAGACGGATTGGCAGGGAGGACGAGAAGCTCAGTCTTTGCCAGGTTGAGCTGCAGGTGATGTTCCTTCATCCATGCCGAGATGTCCGCCAGACAGCTTGAGATCCGTACAGCTACTGTGGGATCATCTGGTTGAAATGAGAGGTAGAGCTGGGTGTCATCAGCATAGCAATGGTAAGAGAAACCATGTGCCTGTATGATAGGTCCCAGTGATGTGGTGTAAATGGAGAAGAGGAGCGGTCCGAGAACTGAACCCTGAGGAACTCCTGTGGTCAGTTGATGTGCTTTGGATACCTCACCTCTCCATGTGACCTTGAAAGACCTACCTGTGAGATAGGACTCAAACCAGTTGAGGGAGGTTCCAGTGATGCCCAGTGATGAGAGGGCGGACAAGAGGATCTGATGATTCACAGTGTCGAAGGCAGCAGACAGGTCCAGTAGAATGAGAACTGATGATTTGGAAGCAGCTTTTGCGATCCGCAGGGCTTCCGTGACTGACAGCAATGCAGTCTCAGTTGAATGTCCTTTCTTGAAGCCAGATTGGTTGACATCCAGCTGGTTGTTCAGAGACAGGAAGGATGATACTTGGTTAAAAGCAACTCGTTCAAGTGTTTTTGCAATGAATGGTAGGAGAGAGACAGGTCTGTAGTTCTCTAGAAGTGATGTGTTTAATGTTGATTTTTTAAGCAGAGGGGTTACCCGAGCCTGCTTAAATGCTGTAGGGAAAATGCCAGTGTGGAGGGATGAGTTGATAATGTGTGTGAGAGCTGGTAGAAGTGTGGGAGAGATGGCTTGTAGAAGGTGTGAGGGGATGGGGTCTAGAGGGCAGGTAGTAGGATGACTGGAGAGGAGAAGTTTAGATACTTCTTCCTCGGTTAGTGGAGTGAAGGAGGAGAGAAGGTTATTGGCTGTGGGAGAGGTTAGTCTGGGTTCCTGTGCTGAGAACTGACTGCTGATAGTGGTAGTTTTGTTAGTGAAGAAGTTAGCAAAATCATCAGCAGTTAAAGAGTCTATGACTGGATCATTATTGCTGTGATTAATATGTTTCTAGCATGTTATTATTTGTTTGGCAACAGTTATTTTAACCTTAATTGACGGACTGTGTAGCTTTTCATTTCTTAAACAACCGTGTAGGATGACACATCATGGCCATATTCCAGAATGACAAAACCAAGATTCATCAGGGTCAAATTGTGAAAGAATGGTTTAGGAGCATGAAGAATACAAGATCTTGAACAAAAATTGACGCACCACTTGATGGAAATAACATCACATTTATTTTCATCAAGAGGTGCATCAATTTTTGCTCAAAATAAATTGACGAAATAAATGCAGTCCTGGTGAACATGACACTTCTTTCAAAAACAAACAAAAAATTTAAATAAATAGCATAGACCCCAAACTATTGAATAGTAGTGCAAGTTAACCATTATGGTTTTAAAAAAAATGAACATATGTCATATGTTCTACTGTAACATACTAATTTGATCATTTGCACAAGGTTTTACTTTTATCCGAAAGAATAGTCAACTTAGAGCAGTGGTCCTCAACCCTGGTCCTGAACTCAGATAATAAGCAAACTTAAGAAGCTGTAGAGACATTACTCGTCACATCGATGTCACGTGTCTTTATGGGATCTTTATGGGATGTGTGTGAACGCACACACAGATTCCGGAAAACCACTGGCAGCGTGAATGAACCAAAATCAAACAATCCCAGGACACATTATCAGTGTATTTTCCGGAATCTCTGTGAAAGGGGCTTTGAAGTAACCACCACTTAGAGTAAAGTGTCAAGATCAAGGGACGCAAATTTGAACCCACAACCTTCTTATTATCAAGCCCAGATCTTTAACTAGGCTGTACCCCCAACATTCTCAGCAGGTTTTAAATGTTTTAAAGTGCCAGAGTGCCAGAAAATCATCTCATTGCACAGGATTTCTTAGCTTGAACAAAAGCTTGGATGGCTCAAGGTCAGAATGGAAAAGGTATCGCTTAGATATAAATCAGTAATCCATCTAGTAAATGCACACCATCTTTCAATTTCAGAACCCCAAAACACATTCCTCATCCACAAAACATTCTTTAACACTACCCCCATTTCTACAGCTGTTTCTTCATCCCAGAGGCAGATACTTTCAGATTTGAATTAAACACAGCAGAGTTAGAGTCGTTTTAATATTTACATGTTTAAAAAAAAAAACTACTTGCATTGCTAAAATTAAATAAAAGACAAATTACAGAAAAAAAAGTGTAAAAATGAACTTGCACCAAATTATAAGACCACCTTCTGTCTACACAATAATACAGTCAATTAGCCCTGATCAGTTGTAATAAAATGCTGAATGAATACTCCAGTGATGTTTAATTGGTGTTCTGTGTGATGTGACCTATCCAAAACATGAAAATGGAAACAGATAGAAGGCAAACCTGACTGGTCATCTATCAAACAATGAATGATTACTAAAAGGAAAAATAAAAATTACTCGATAAATTGTTGCAAGTTTGAAAGTTTTCATATGTTGGACATGAAAGTTCAGATGACTTGCAATGCATGACAGCTGCAGGATAGTTTTTACATACATGAAATCAATGGAAAACATCTGGGCAAAGACAACCAAGAAGTTTAAATACAAAAAAAGTATCAACCATCGGATGAATGCATTTGAAATAGCTAGTCAAAGTTGAACACAAAATGTGTGGTACAATTATGCCGTTATGAAGATATATCCAAAATATTCTCTTTCTGAAAATGAGATAAAGACCATCTATTCCAGTTGCCAGACAGTTAAAACCGGCTGTTGCTCAAGTAAAACAGCAGGACCTGTTACTTTTCCATGTGACACTACCATTGACTATCAATCTGGCAAACTGATTTTCAACACTTTTTTTTCCATGTCATTGCTTAGCTTTTTTGAGAATGGTTCCCACTGCAGAGATGACAGTGGTCTTGGTGCCGCTGGCTGTTGTGGTCACAGAGACGACTCCAGGGAGGGTGGCAGTGGTGGTGAGGAGGGCGGGTTGTGCCAGGGTCACTGGCACTGCTGAATCCCACTTGCTCTTCCTCTTCTGAGCATCTGCTGGGTCATAGCACTTAGGTTTAATTCAACTAGACTAATGGTAGGTTTAATTCAACTAGACTAATGGTAGGTTTGTTTGCAGTAACACTAACCAACAAAGACTGAATTATAATTCAACATATGTTGGGCTGTCACAATTCCTCAATTAAATTAGAGTACTTGATTTAAAAAAAAAAATCCTCAATTGCAATTTGCCCATGTCAATTAACTGGCAAAACACGGAAGTGGTGCATTCCACGGACGAGAATCCATGAACGGCATTATTAGACCTTTACAAAGGCTGCAGGACATATCAAAACCATTTAAAGGTGCAGTGTGTAATTTTTAGCAGCATCTAGTGGTGAAGTTGCGAATTGCAACCAACAGAAGTTACGGTGGCCGACAGGAAAAGATGTCGTCGTCTGAGACAGCAGAGTATCCAGTTAAGCAATGAGGTTTCTTTACAAAGGTACATTAAGAAATTATGTTTACTTAATTATTTAGTAAAACGATATGTTACTGCGAATATTATTGTTACTTGTTCATCATTGTGTCAGTGTTTTATTCGCTGACTTTAGCAAGCTTCATTGCACAAAGAACAACAGTGACGAAACGCGCTTGTCCGTTTAGGGCTACTGTAGAAACATGGTGGCGCAAAATGGCTATTTCAATGCATGCAAATTACGAGTTTCTTCCAGCGGCTCAGAGAGGCTCCGTTCACAGTAAATGCTGCTATAACGTTCATCTGGGAATGCAACGTGCACCATTTCACCAGATATGTAACGTAAATCATTTATGAACCTTAGCCAACACAGGAGAATACATCAATACGTTTCTAAATACCGTAAAACTTCAAATAATAGCCCGGGCTTTTATTTTCCCAAATCGTCGAACTGCACCGGCTTGTATTTGAGACAGGCGTCTATATGAGACAGGCCTTTGTAATTTAGTGTTGAGATGTTGTTCATTGAGTGTAGGCGTAGAGTCTCTAATCTCTAAAAATCTCCAAATGCTCCACGTGAAACTGCGGTCTTCCGATCTTTTACTATCGTGTCAATTGATTTTGATTAATATGCGCGAGGGAGAGAGAGCAGGACAGCGCTCGTGTTGTTTGAAGACGTGAGAGTGCGCGCCCGGGTCTCTCTCTCTCTCTCTCTCTCTCTCTCTCTCTCTCTCTCTCTCTCTCTCTCTCTGCTCTCCCTGTCAAGCGCAGCAGTCATTCTATTCTACATCACTCACCGATCAAAAAAGGCTTTGGCGGGACAAAAATTTGCTTTGGCAGCCGGCAAAAAGCGGACGATCTGACGGGTTTTAGAAGATTAAAAACAACCGAAACTAAAAAACAGACCCGGCCTCTATTTGAGACCGGCTTTTATTTACCCAAACCTGCAGCCACACCAGGCGTGTAAAAGAGACAGGCGTCTATTTGGGACTCGGCTATTATTTGAAGTTTTACGGTAAGCAAACTGTTGTTCATCGTGATTTTCAATAAAAGTTCAAACCCTCGCTCTGAGTTTGCATGTTTTGATGTCCACATGTTCTTGTTCAAGAAATTACAGTGGCTGTAGCATGTCTATCATAAAGAAGTGGCCAAATATCAAAGATTAAGTGGAGATTTTAATTAAATCTTTTTCGGCCAATTTTAAACAAGGATTTGATCATGCTGTAAAGTGTAACAATAACAATCACCGTCTGGTGCCCTCTGGAGGCATTTATTATAATACATGATGAACATAAGTTGTGTATTTTATCAGTGTTGTTCAATACAACAATATGATTACTTGCTTTTCGAAACTTTGTTTGAACCAATAAGTATTGCCTCATTGTTATTACACCAATGTATTTTAAGTCATTTTAGTGGTTGTTCTTTACTTAGGTCTATTTGTATTACCACAAAAAATGTATCCGATTATTTTGATGATTAATCATGTACCAAAAGAACAAAATAATCGTTAGTGACAGCCCTAAACATTTGCATTTCATTATCATAAAACTAGAAATGGCTTATGCAACTATTATCAAAGTGGCGACACACCAGGAGTAAAGAAATATACAGACTGATTTTCTCTTTTATAAATGCTGAATAATACAGTTAAAAAAAAAAAAAGCATAGAATATATATTTTTAAAATCGTAAAAGCCTTAAACCTTGGTCTTTTAAAAAAAGACCATACTGACTTTGTTACCTAAAAACTATTTTTTTTGCATCATATTTTTGGTAATATATATATTTTTTATTAATAATAATAATAATAATAATAAGTATAATAGGCTGTTATTATACAACAATAACATTGCCTATTTATGTTTCAATTTCATCACTTTACATTTTTAAAGCCCTTATTTTTACATCAAACACTCAATCATGCATTGTACCTGTGGATGAGGCAGTTGTTGCGTTTGTGGCCAGAACTGCTGCATTAGAAGTGGTGCCTTTTTTAGTGCCTGTCACAAATTCAATCTAAAGACACATGGGTAAAACATTGTAACCGTCAGTGAGGTTTTGGCCCATATAGAAGAAAGAAACCTTTTAATATTATTAAAAATAATAATAATAATAATAATAATAATAAGTGGAGTGCCTCAAGGTTTTAACCTTGGTCTTTTCCTTTTTGGCTTTTTCCAGCTTGTCCATCTCTACCTTCTGAGCTTTGGCTGTGGAGAGAATAGCACACAAATGGTTAACAGATGTAATCAATTTAATCCATTTGAGTTGAAAATGTCAAATAAAATTTTAAGCTAAATGTACCTAGTGCCTCATAATACGAATCCTCTGACCAGCCATGGGGGTCAAACATGTCCTATGGAGAAGTAAATAAAAAGTTTTATAAAACAGCAATGTGTGTATACATGGTATTAAAAGGTAAACATTACATACTTTTGGATAATTGGTTCCAAGTTCATCAATTCCACAGAACTGGATTAGCTTCTCATAAATACTATAAACACAAACAGATGGTTAGTTTGAAAACAAATAAAACAGTATCAAAATATAATCTGCTTTAGGTTATGTCTGGTGCATGGTGGGTCATTAAAACTTGTTATCTTCAGACCTTGGGTTGCGAAACTCTTTCTTCATTTGAATATGGCTGTTTGTATCAAAGTCTCCATGAAGCTTCCGCTCGTAAAGTTTAAAGATCTTTTCCTACAAAGAAAAGGTACAACAGTCTTACTATCTAATTCTTTTTCATATCATTATTGATATTAAGTGCATGCATGATCTTGCTAAATAAACAAATTGTCTTTTTTATTTTAAATGCAAGTTCATATAAAATGTGCACTACGAAACAAGAAAAATACTGTTTCCTCTCTCCAAGTGTTTTGAGACACTAGGAATGAATAAAGTCTTTGTACGACTGCGAGTTTCTAGAACTAGAGGGTGATTTTTGACAACCGGACTCCAAGAAGCACTTGGAGATGTGCCATTTTCAGTTTTTCTTCACATTCCAAGAAGTCAAATAAATTTAAAAGTCCTTTGTTGACAGTTAAGACACTGATCTTCATTTGTACAAAATGTACTAAATAAAGTTAGCAAGAAGACCAACTGAGGTGTAAAGGGAATGATGATCATGTCTGAGCAGTGATAAAAGCACAGCCACAAGGACAGGATATTAATCATGATGTGGAAAAGCACAGCCCATCTATCAGTACTAGGCTGTAGAATACTGAGTGTGAAAACCACACCCGGGCACACCTGCCCCAACAGCTCACGAGAGACAGAGCCACAACAGGAAGTGGTATTATCAATAAGAATTTGACAATGAGATTGAAAAATGTGGTTTGTTAATATTTATTCATAATATGTTCAAATATGACCTCATCATCAACATGGTTTTGACATCACTGACCTCAAATGTTTAAATCCCTGGACATGTTCTGACAGGATGCAAGTTGCATGATTTAGGGCAAACTGCCAGTCCTTACCCCCGGGTGAGGCAAAACACCTGAAAGACTGACACCCACAACCTTCCACCCCCTTGAGCTCCCCAGTGCCACACCCTGAGATAAAACATGCCAGCCAGGATCTGAACATGTGCTTTAAAGATGTTGCCAAGAACTAAAACAATGAATTCACATGATCTCTTTTTATGACTGTTGACAAAGTGTAGCAGTCCAACCAAAACAGAGCAGCTGAGAGAATGTTTTTCAGCGGATATACGGAGAAAAAAAAAATCTAATTCTTCGGAAAATTCAGAATTTACCAAGAATGAGAAGCACCAATAATATTGTTTATTTGCATGCATAGTCTATGTTGTTTTAGCCTGTATAATTTTAATTTAAAGGGTTAGTTCACCTAAAAATAAAATTTCTGTCATTAATTACTCACCCTCATGTTGTTCCAAACCTGTAAGACATTTGTTCATCTTCAGAACAAAAACTAAGATATTTTTGATGAAATCCAAGAGCTTTCTGTGCCTCCATATACAGCAACGCAACTACTAATTTTCAAGGCCCAAAAAGGTTTTGTTTTATTTTCTGCGAACAAAATATTCTCGTAGTTTCATAAAATGAAGGTTGAACCACTGTAGTCACATGGATTATGTTAACGTTGTCTTTACTACCTTTCTGGGGCTTGAAAGTGGTAATTGAGTTGCTGTATGTATATGGAGGCACAGAAAGCTCTCGGAATTAATCAATTATTGAAGATGAACGAAGGTCTTACGGGTTTGGAACGACATGAGGGTGAGTAAGTATTTTCATTTTTGGGTGAACTATCCCTTTAATTAAGATACTATTATTAGTATTTTGTATTTATTTTTGTATTTCCTGTTTTCATTTTAATTTCAGTTAAAGGTTTAGTAATTTTGTTGTGCATTTTTGTCAGTTTTATTCGTAAAACTGTATGTCTATATAATTTGCATTATACTATATTTCTGTTTGTTATTTTAGTACATCAAGTTAAATTAAATGAAAATGAGATATTGTCTTATTGTCAGCTGAAAATAAAAAACTTAATTTTTTTAGTTAATGTTTCTTTTATTTGAAGTAATGGAATTTATGGTTTTAGTTTTAGTTAACTATAATAACCCAGACTTTAGCTTCAAGTATTTATGCAAATAAAAGTAACAGACAGTGTTTGTTTATACGGATGATGACTTAATTAAAAACCTATTTCAGCATGAGAATACAATCGGCATAAAGTCAGGTCTACTTTGCAGCATACATCCTAAACTAACAACGAGCGAAATATTTTTTACAGCATGCATAATCCCTTTTATTTGAAAACATTTATTAGTACATGATGAAATTACCTTTACCTAAGGCTATGTTTACACGGAAACGATCTGAAGAGAAAACGCAAAAGTGGCGTTGCGTTATCACTTTTTATTCTGCGTTTAGACGAGCGTTATGTTTTTTGGGACGAGCGTTTTATGGTTGGGAAATCCGCGTGCATATGGTGACGCAAAGTGTGTGAAATTCAATGTAGTATGCACTCCAGGCGGCTAGGTGGCAATGTGAAGCACTGCCACACAACAACACCAATATCTTAGAATATTTTGTACAACTGCTGAAAAGACTCTTGTATGTTTTTCAGAGCTGCTAGGGCAACTTGAAGGTCCGACGTATGGAAATAATCTGACATGTTGGTTGTTATTTTCCTGTACTGGCGCATGCATGTGACGTAAACGCGTACGCGACGAGAGCCACCGTGAGCAGATTTGCGTTTTTACCGTTTAGACGGGAACGCGACGGTTGAGCGTTTTTAAGATTTCCACTCTGGAGGGTGGTTTCACTTTTTTGCATTTTTAAGCCCCCAAAACGCCGTTGCCGTGTAAACGAAAGGCACATCCGATAAAATATTTTTACGTGTTCACCCGGAATCGTTCTCGTGTAAACGGGGCCTAAGACTAGCATAAAAATTCTGTAGTCATGTTAACTAATGTAGTTCATGTAATGAGACGTTATTGTAAAGTGTTACAGAAAAGGCCATCTGACTGACATTTAAATTGACCAACTACTTTTTAACATCGGGTTTATGTACAAATTTGAAATTATTGTACAGCAGCCTATTATCAAAGTCAATAAGCACTCATTCAAATAATCATGCAACAATTTCCGCAAAAGGAGTGGAAAATGTGTTGACTTCTGTCAAAAATTCTGTATGTCCAAAAACCATTGGTTAAGTTCAGATTTCTCACAAATGTAAGTGTCCTTGAGGATCTAATTTATAACGAAAAGGACTTCACTAACATGTGATCAGTGCAGAAGTCTTTAACACAGCTTTGCGTGTAAAAATGTGACTCCTGGAAATTGCATAGCAGCCAACCAATCAGATTATAATAGATTTTGGCCCAGTCTTGTAATTTGTTTGTGCAATATCCATAAGCCTGTGAATGGTCAGCGGACAAGCTACCTGATAGCGGCTGAAACTAGCATCTATCAAAAACAAGTTCTCTCATTGGACCCCATGGCAGCAAGTCAAGAACATCTCAAACAGAACAGAGCAACAATCTCACCTGCAGATGACTGGAACAACGCCCGGCAGGTTCAGGAGGAATTCTGATCTCGTCAGGAGACATGTTCCGAACCTTCTCCGAAAACTGTGCTATAAAGAAGAAGAAAATACTCATTTGAAGAATTAAATACATGAATATTACAATTTACTTCACAGTATAAACAGGTGTGTTGCAATAGAGTAATGACGATCATATGCTCATAAAAACAAACTACATTTTTTCAAGAAAATATAGTTATGCTTGCCCATGCAAACTCTTTGCTAGGATGCCACGGCATTGTTATATCTAGCATGTTGCTAAGGTGTGATGTGTGTGTATATACTGTATTATTATATATATATATATATATATATATATATATATATATATATATATATATAGTCCAAGCTTATTTATAATTATTTAAGTTAAAATTATTCTTTGGTATATTTTTTTAAATAAAAAATATTTCGATAGGCCTGTATATTGTGCAGTTAAATTTTTCTTTGATTTAGATTTTTACATATTTCAAACAAACGAAAATTATTGCCAACTTAAAAAGTGAGCACATACTAAAAACTATAAATAAAAATAAATAAAAATCATGAAGAAAATCCTTCTCCTATCAGCAGTATAAAGTTTCCAAACACACATATTCTGGATTCCGTATGCAACTTTAACCTCAAGCTAAAAAAATGTTCTTCACATTTTTAAAATGACACTAATCCACTACAATTTCGCAAGCATGTGCAAGAACTGTATTCTGTATTTTTTCTTTATTCCTTCAAACTAGAAGTGTCTATCAGCAGTCTGTCAGACATCTCTGGAGCAAATTACGGAGAAATGGAATTTGTGGTTGCGTACACATGCAGCAGTGAACACTATTCAAACCATACTGGTTGGAACAGGCTACTGCCGAATTCCCTTTCACCTCACCTCCTCTCTTCTCAATCCCACACACACTTCCTCCCCCATCTGCCTCTCTCACACCCCCTGGCTGCTGTTCTGGGCAGATCTGAGGCAACGACTGTGGGCCAAAACATGCCTCCGTTTGTTTTAAACACATGACAGACACACACACACACACACACACACACACACACACACACACAGAAGCAGGGAAGGGCTGGGTGGAGCACTCTAGAAGTGGCACACTTCCCAAAGCAATGTACAGACATAAACATGTAGAAACAGGCCTTCTGGCGATGGAAACCTACTCGGAATTTCAGAAAGGTAAAATTATTTTTCATCAGTTGCCTTACGCAAACTGAACATTTGAGAACAACCCTTTGGCAAAACAGGTCATGCACACCTGTAGAGCTACTCTAAAGAGAAAGAATATAACACAGATATAGCATTTAAAATAATCAGATTCATTATTATTATTCCTATATACCTAAACCTCTGGGTAGGAGAGGATCCTTCTTGTCCTTTGTGTTCATCACCTGCCACATTAAGGCACATTTTGACAGGATGTAAGGTGGCTCTTAGCCAAGGTCAGTTTACTTGGCGCCATGACCAAGTACTGCGATGTTTGGCTTTAGCATTGGAAGGCAAGCGTAACATGACCAATAAGTTGCCACCTGTTCTAGCAAAACATTACACGCAGAAGACAATATTCCTCCACCCGGGCGAGCAACCACCAAGAAAAGGTGTTAACACCAATTCTCGCCCAGGACAACTGGAAGCTGCTAGGGACTGGAAGATGCTGGCTGATCTTGATCAACGGCTTATTTTTCCACCTGAGATTGCCACCACTAACCTCCGACCAGATATTGTTTTGTGGTCTGGATCAGCACGCATTGTTCAACTGATAGAGATAACAGTGCCATGGGAGGATGCGGTAGATGAGGCATATGAGAGGAAGAAACTGCGGTATGCTCATCTGGCCGCTGAAGCAGAACAGCGAGGATGGAGAGTCCAGGTTTATCCAGTGGAAGTGGGTTGTCGAGGTTTTGTGGCACACTCTACAACCCGGTTCCTCAGAGACGTCGGATTCAGTGGCCAAGCGTCGCACAGTAAAGAACTTATCTGAAGCAGCAGAGAGGAGCAGCAACTGGCTGTGGTTGAGACGGAAAGATTCTAGCTGGCTGAGTACAGGCCGCCACGCTACGGTTTCGTAGAATTCTTGAAAAACTTGAAGAGTCTGTCGGTTTATTTGTATAGTTTGCATAGTAATTACAGTTATTACGTTCCTGTGTATATTGCGTGAATGAGAGTAGGTGTTTGGGCAGATATTGTGTTTTGCGGTAGGTAGTATGCCATACGGAACCGTTGCCACTGAACCTACTTTAACGAAGACAGTGGGGCTCGACAGCCTTAGTCAAACGGGTTGGCGCGTGTGGTTGGGTTGCGGAGAGATTGTGAGATTGTGGTTAGGTCTCAGCAGCAGGAGGGATGTAGAGGTCAGTAAGCTGGGCTGAGTTGAGTGGGGGACGGAGGGGGGTGACTCTGGGACGCCAGAGTCACTGTCGAGCCCTCTTGAGGTGTCGTGGGCTAGTCGACGAAACACTGAGGACGGAAGATGCCCACTTGAAGACCCTAGAGATGTCCCTTACTCGGCTCAATCCAGACGGTTGTCGTGCTGGTCCACTGGGGAGACCACACTGTAGTTGCAGCCGTTGTGTGTGCTGACGCGCCAAGTACACTGCATCCGTTAACGCCGGACAGAAGGAGATTCACATCACCATATGTAAAGAAGCGTAAATGGATGGAGAGAGAGAAGCATAGGTTACTGTAAAGCTACGTCTTAGTTTGTGCTTATCTTGGCGAAAGCCGAGTACAAATCAGCATGAAGTTTTAACATCTACTCTCGTGTAATGGAAATCATTCCTCATAGTTATGGTTTGGAGTTCCTAAAATCCCTAACCATAAGTATTAAAAGTCGATTCATAACTCCTACATAAATGAAACCTCAAATTATGCAGTTTCTCAAGATGACAGGCTTTAGGACAAGTGATCAGACTTGCCATTTTTCACCTGGCGGATGTTAAAAAAGGGAAAATAAGTCCCATAAGCTTACATTTAAAGGGGAACTTGGCAACTCTAGTCATTTCTTTGCTGATTTTCACTTTTGTTGTCACATGTTTTTGTCATCGAGCTCCCCCTACAGCTGTGCGGCGTAAATTTTCACAACACTGTCATAAAAAAGCTCACTTGCGACTTCCTCCCGCTTTCTACCACTGCTCATGTGCATTTGTTATTATCGGAGCCGGCCAACTTTATCGTGTGGAGCTATGTCTGCCGAGGTGGGTAATACATCATACACAGTATCATAGAATTATGTCGAATTGCCATAAAGCAGTTTGTGTTTCTCGCTCGTTCTCGCTTCTCACGAGACTTCCTATTTCCAACTTACCGGGACGTTAGTCCCCATGTTGCAAGGTTGGTTTTCTGCCTGGAACGCTGGGGGGAGCGGGGAAAGTCACCATTCTTCAGGTTATTGAACCATTCAAATGATTTCTAAACGGTTTTATTAAGTTGAAATAGTTGCCAAGTTCCCCTTTAAGAAGAAACCTGTGTCACAGAGTTCAACAGTGCCATTATGCCTTATTCAGTGACCGCGGTATTTTTCCCTGGTCTTTTAAGGTGAATAACAACATTATAAACTATGATTTGAAGCAAAATCTGACAAAAAGTATATTTGAAAATAAGAGAAAAAGACAAAGGTAGGAGGCTGTCTACTTAAAGGTGCAATGTGTAAAAATTTGGAGTATCTATTAACAGAAATGCAATATAACATCCATAACTATGTTTTCAGAGGTGTATAAAGAACTTACTTAATAAACCGTAATGTTTTTATTACCTTAGAATGAGACATTTATATCTATATAACCGCGGGCACCCCCTTCTATGAAGGTCGACATATTATGACGTCATGTTTCTACCGTAGCCGACAGCAAACAAACAGCGCGTTTCGTCACTACCTTGAAAGAGAAGCCGCAGAAACCTAGAAGCTAGCCATAAACACCGTGAGTAGTGACTTTTCTCTTGTCAGTGGTGTAAAATATGTAGTTGGATTGTTTCATGTAACTTAGTTCTTCTCCCTCGCTGTGTTATGGCTTTGCTATGTGGGGATAAACTACCCAGAACACCCTAGCAACTAGGGCTGGGTATTGACATAAATTTCAGGATTCGATTAAACTTCAATTCACAATCTTGCGATTTGATTCCTATTCAATTTGATTTTGATTATTCTGGATATTGTTTATAAGCCATTTTATTGACGTCTTTCCGCTGTTGAAACCTGATTGAGCGATTACATGAGATACAGATTTCGTTAAGTTGTACTCTTTCTTTTAACATACCTTCTGATGTTCATTCATGTTTATTTCGCGCTGTAGTAGTAAAGCGGAAGAGATGATCCGTCCGTGACACGTGCTGCTGCTTCGCTTGATCTGTGATCTGTCACGCCACATTAAAGGGTGCCAAAATGGTATTGTTTTAATTTCATAAATAAAATGGACAGAATTTGAAATCTGAGACTGTGTTTCATATCAAAAGTAACAAAGCTCATTGCGATTTATTGAACGGTACTGTAGGTGAGCTACAATGTTCTGAAAACAGCATAGACTAAATGATCGATTCTTCGTAATTTAAGAATCGGTTTCGGTTCATAAAAATGAGAATCGATTAAAATCGAAAAATCACAATTTTTTCCCCAAACCTATTAGCAACCGCCATGGCAGCCAACTAGAACAAAGGCAAACACAACTAATACTTTCTTAGAAAGTGTACACACTTTGGTATAAAATTGTCAATTTACAGGACTTTGCGATTTTATGTGTGGCTGTCATGGATTAAACTGTAGTTGGTCTGAAAGCTGTGTTTTATAAAGCATTCACACATGTTTTAATTACAGTGTGATTAGAGTAAATGTGGTAGCAGCAGGCAGCAAGTGCGCACAGGAATGTTGGCAAGACAGGGGTCTTCTATAAACCCCTAAAATCCCCACCGTTGCTCTCAAAGCCAGCTTTCTTATTCCTGATATGATTTAGTGCGACTTTAGCTGATTTTTGAGCAGTAGATCTCTCCCCATTTGTCATTTCCTCTCCATCAGAGTAATCACGCGTTAACTGTACATGACTCATTTCTTAGGCATCTTCAGAGCTCAGTGTTCACCCAAACAAGTGGCACCATCACACACAAAGCCCATACACCAACTCCAGTCTCAGAAAGACTCCAAAAAAGAGAAGGAGGGAAAATTAGAGCCGAATGTAAAGATCTTCTGTCTCCCAACCACAAAGCAAATCTTTGAGTCTCCAGCAAGACCTTCCTTTCTACGGTCTTTTCACATTTTAATGTGAAGAAAAACAAGACAGAGTGGAACGTTCAGTTACTCGTCCAAATGTCTTGTTTACTGTAACTCCCAACAATTGTAAAAGTAGAATATTCTGGCTCTAATTGCATCAGAAAGATATGTGGCATTATAAATACAGTTTTTATACATAAAACACCCAAACTTCTAGTGCAGGTTGCATGTATTACGTTGTCTATAATGTTGCACATTACAATGTTTTTTTCATGAAGAACGTACTCTCTCTACGTTCCAGCTGATGAACGATAAACATTGACAGCCAATCAGAATCCACCCAACTATAAAGAGCTTGAGCATTTAAAGCAGTAAGTGAAAACTGCAGGGCACGCTTATTATAATCAGAACATTTTTATCGTGCATGAAGTGGACACTAATAGTTTTTGTCATAGTTAAGGTTATAGTTATCATTCTTGGTGTGAATGGGCCTTAAGTTGGAAATTAGAATCGCTTCCAGAACAATTTTTTCCCAGCTGTTGAACGATAAAAACATTGACAGCCAATCAGACTTTAAAAAGCTCTAGCGTTTAAAGCGGCAAACAACATAACTGTATTGGGAGCTCATTATAAACAGAACGATATCATCTGTTGATGTGGGCGCTAATAGTCATCGATCTTGGTGTGAATGGGCTTTAAGAGGAAAAAGAAAAATACACTCATAGAAAAATTAAAGGAAAAATCATGACTTTGATAAGCATTAAAATTGAAGTGCTTTATGCATCTTAAGTTACTAATGCTATTAATTTTTAGCCTTTTATTCTTATTACTTGAAAAACTCACAAAATATAATGACAGTCCTAAATCAGATATCACTGATGACTTTAGAAAGTGACGATCCTGATGTGTCACTATAATCAAACTGATATCACACAGAGTTGCCATAAAACAGAACTGAAGCAATCCAACCTGGATCCCTCATTTCCTGGGCACGGCCAAGGTACACAAACACACACCTCAGCAACTTTCTTGCACCATGTTGGCTGGAGCACAAACACACATCAATGCTTTCTACCATCTCTTTGGAAAGATATTTTAATTGAAGATGAGGGAATGCTTGATTAATTTGATACTTACCAACAAGCTCATTGGGGTCTTTAACCTCCACTTCCAGGACATCCTATAATAGAAAAAAAACACATATTGAAAATCAATAATACATTTCATTTCATAAGTGCTTTCAAGTAAGCTTGTACATCATCCACATAAGATGAATTATGATAAACCAAGTGATATATTGTTAAAACCATTTAATCAGATGATATTTGGCCATTTTGGCAATATCAGCATCAAATAATAACTGTGCCTGCTTGTTGATTTAACAAAAGTGTTAGCACCCCCTTGTGTAAGCTCCAAAAACTTCCAACAGAAGAGTCAAAGGATAAACAGTTTTTTTTTATTTTCACGTAAATATAGCGTAATATAAGTGTGCATAAACGCATATCTTTATACACTACTAGCTATTCAGAAGAGAATAGGTTTAATCCTTTGCTGTAGCTTTTAAAACACAAAATGTCTCTCCTGGGAAGCTTAAAAACCAAGGCGTGATGAAATCTGCACCAAAGTGCAAAAGCCCTGAATAGTAAAACTAGGCTGAAAAAATACACTGGGCCTCTATTCACTGTCCTCTTTTACACAATCTCAGATACAGTCACTCAGCAACAGAATGTGCAGATGGAAGAATCGTCTCGTAAAAGCGCCCAAGTAGAAAATATGTCTAGGACAGCACAGAGAGAAAGATATTACTCACTGAGAGAGGAATCTCTTGTAGCCAAAAGCGCAAATCCTAACAACAGTCCTTTCACTTGAAAACTCACTATGGCAAAACAATGTTAGACACAAAAAAAGGACCCATCCATCTCCACTGAGGCAGGGGGCCTGCCTAAAAAGGGGTCTTTTTCATTTAGATTAGCCCAAAAATGGGACAACGGGTTAAAGGACAGGGATTAAAGTGAAAAAAATTCTTCTGACTGAAATTTTTTTCAGGCCAAGTCATATTCCTGTAACTTTATTTAAATAGTCGAGACCAATAGCGTTTTAAGGGAAGATGTTTAAAACCGATCTAATATTGAGTAATTTAAAAGCTATTTTAATCTATGAAAAACAATTACTTATCTTGACAAATAATCAACCATCTACATAACTTTTCAGTGCATGTTTTTATTTATCTTATGAGACCAAACAATGCTAAACTATATTAATATATAGTTTGTGCCATGGCAAATTGTTTTGGCTGAGGGCAAAGTGAAGTTTTATAACTTTATTATGTAGGCTATATTTAACTTTAACTTTGTAGCCTATTACAGAGCTGACTTATGTTTAATTGAATTGTTTGCTTTATTTCTCATTGTATAGCTTATTATAGCCTATCTATTAGGCTACTACTTTTGAACGGGATATTAGCATTAAAACTGACATTTAACAAAAAAGAGACATGGTTGTGTAATTTTATATATTCTAAAATATATAAAATATTATATTACTATGCATTCTCTTCACTGTATGTGTACGCATAATACAATAAAACGATACAACCCTGTCTGTTTGTTAAATGTCAGTTTTAATGATAAATAATGTTTCATATTTTTAAAATGAAAACAAAAAGAAGCAGGTTTGTGTTTTAGCTATATTTCGTGTTGTTATAACTATATGATAAATCAATGTGCGTTGCCTGAACCACATTTGTGTGGCCATTTATATGTTTATGATAATAATTATGTTCATTTATAAAAGAAAAGAGGCACAGTGGTGTTGATGAAAAAAGGCAGAGTTGATAACCGGAGTAGCCGCGTGCTGAGTGACGCGATCAAGAACGCGCTGTTAGCAGCGTCCTCGGGAGTTTGTTCTCCTGAGTCGAACTTGGCAAGTCCGAACTACCAAGGACGCAAGTCCGAAGTTTGCATACTTGGTATTGAGAAACGACCAATATTGACCCGCGTTCTGTTTTCTATCATGGGACCGCAGCAAACGAGCTGTAGCCTCGCCTGACAAGATTGAGTGAACAGGGTCCAGGGAGCAGTTTTTCCGTGAGCGGGAATTGAAAAACCGGAGTGGACCATGAGCAAAGTGATTACAGAATGCTTAGAGTGGAGAGAGGAACGTGCTTTTGCTCCACTCCAGGCTTTATCACATCCCCCCTCAGCAGGGTGAATACGCATCATCTTTCCTTAATTTAAGACCTATTCAAACTAAAATTAAGACATTTATCACACTGTTTGCGAAATGAAAGCCTATTTACGGCCTTAAAATTATGAAAAGTTAATTTAAGACATAAGGACAGACGGGAACCCTGCAATTGACGGATATCCGTCATAGACTCGCTGCAATTAACGGAAATCCGTCGTAGCGACGGAGAACTTTAATCCCTGAAAGGAGCTACCCCTCGCCATTTCATTGTCATGTCCCTGCATGCACTTTAACAACACTGAAGACAAAAAAAAAAAATTCTGAATAATAAAGTTATAAGACACTTAAGCAAGTGAAGATTACAGCCTGCGCTTAAAAGGAATTGTTACCTTCGTGCCATTCCAAACCCAAATGCTGCTTTTTTTTATTTTCCTTTTTTTGTGTGGAAAATAGTTGTAAAAAAGATTCTTTAAAATTCCCCTTTTCGGGCCCTAATGGAAAACAACACCATATGAGTTTGGAACAACAAGAGAGTAAATGAGAATTGTATTTTTTTTGGGATGAAAAACAGTCAAGGACAAACATGAACTGAACCCACATAAAAAGAAAAAGCACTACAACTCTTACATTTGAAAACGTTCTATTAAACAATCATAATTTTCATTACAAAACATGTCTTATATATCATTCAGTGATTATGAAGAACAGCGTTCTCTCTCTGGGGTGTGGCTCTAAATTGATGCAACATCACAAGCTACTATTGTGAAAAAGTCATTTCAGTGCATGAAATAACTTGCCACACATAACTTGCAGTGCTTTGCACATCAGAATTCCTTTAAGATTACTTTAGAATTTAGATTCTAGGTATTCAAACTAATAATGAGAAATACTGGTAATAAAACAGCAACATAAATTTGTTTAAACTATCATGAAAGCACCATGTAAATACCACACTACCATTCCAAAGTTTGGGGTCAGTCAGATGGGTTTTTTTTTTTTTTTAAATGAATACTTTTCTTCAGCAAGAATGTATTAAATAGACAGTCAAATAACAGTCAATACGTTTACATTATATTCAAATAAATGCTGTTCTTTTTAACTTACTATTCAAAGATTCAAATAGAAAGTTTCCACAAAAATATTAAAATATTATTAAAGTTTTAAATAATAAGAAATGTTTCTTGAGCAGCCAGCAAATCAGTATATTAGAATGATTTCTTAAGGATCATGTGACACTGAAGACTGTAGTAATGATGCTGAAAATTCAGCTTTGCCATCACAGGAATAAATTACATTTTAAAATGCAAAAATATTTCACAATATGACTGTATTTACTGTATTTTTAATTAAATATAAAACATTTAAAAACGTTACTGTACCAAACTTGTAAATGGTAGTGTACATTCAGTTATGTTAGTTACTACAGCAACAGTTACTACATTTACAAAACATTAAAAATATTATCATCGAGTACCCATGGTATTATCATTGAATATCATCAAAATATCAAGGTACCAACATAGTACTGTTGTTGTGTAAGGGATAAAAAAAATCAGGGCGAATCTGTAAACTTTAAACACACTGACAACAGCTCCGTACATTTTAAAATGATTGTATAACATAAGTACCTGCAGTGTGCATAAACCTGATGTTTAACAAATAGGCAAAAAATATATATTACGGACATGCTGTATTACTCATACGACCCTTCTATGCAAGTTCAAACACACATGTTCCTCAGATGGAGTGATGCGGTGTTCTCTTGGTTTGAGACCAATCATAACACTGCAGTAAATTTAGGAAGGGTGTGTCTTGAGTTTGATACACAGAACAGGCAATTTAGGTGGGGTCAAATACCTTCACATCATCTTGGGGCCGCCCTGAGTCCGACTCCTCCTCTTCCTATGAAAACAAAAAAGAACAGGGTCACCAAAGTCACATTACCATATTACCAAACCATATCAAGAGCTCCCCCTTCAGGTGTGCAACGTTTCAACCATGGTTCTCAGAGAATGACTGGGAATTCAGTTCTGACTGTGAACTTTTTATGATGAATCCAATAATGACACAGACCTTAGGAAATAGCATCAATCAGATAATCAGAGTTGAATTAGAGGGAAATAAATTAAAACCAGAAGAGGGGCAATATTAAATTTACTTTGATATATTTAAGATAAAAAGCATATATTTGCTAAAAGTACCTATATGCCAGTTTGACAACAAGGCTTAAACCTAGTCCCAGACTAAAATGCATGTTTGAGCTGTCTTAACTGAAAGCAACTTGCACTGACTTATCTGAAAATATGTCAGTGTCATTGTTTTGTCTCAAGATGCACACAAGCAATGTTTTTTTCTAAGGGTGAGTTTATAAAAGCTATTTTAATTTATCTAAGGCCTACTCCTGGCTTAACCTAAGGCCTGACTGTGAAACCAGGCCTTAATGACTAATAATGAGAAAAACTAGACCATAATATTTAATTTAATACAAAATGTCAGAGTGTAGTCATATTATGAAATAGTGTCTAACCTTTATATGGCATTAAATCTATTACCTGTCAGGAATTATGTGCATTTAAAACAAATGGTAATTTGCCTACATTGTAATTATCCACATATATATATATATAGGAAAATGTGACAAGAATTATTGCAAACAAAAATGAACAAATTACTAAGATTACTTGCTTTTCACTTAATTTGAAATATTTATATTTTCCAGTCCATTAATAGGGCTGTCACTTTTGTGAAAAAATCCTGATCGATTTTTGAGACATAAGTGTTCATTGAATTGATTGTAAAATCGATTTTCCATGTCTAAAGACGTTTCTATTTTCAACGCCAAATATAGGCAAATCCACGGACAACTACCAGGCATTAGGACGAACGTAAAGAGTGCGCTTGAGACGCGCACAAGTCAGCAATATTTCTGATGATTTATTGGCGTAAAGTTTTGTGCACAATGACAAACAGGAGTGCAACATTCTCGAAAAACAATAAGCAGAGTGGACTGCCATAACATCAATGAAAAACATTACTGCAGGCTTCAACATGGCTGTGTATACGATTAGAAATGTCAAACAAATTTCACCTACGTAGGCGATTGTAGCCCGTAGCCCTAATCTGTCTGATTACCGGCAGAATTCACATTTCTGTTGTAAAGAGACACATTATGCATAAGTATAATCTGTGTTTGTCAGAGCCTGCAGTTGCTGTGTGACGCGTGTTCTGACGAGCTGGACGCGCTCCGAGAGAAGGCCGTTAAAATCGATTCCCTATTTTCGTTTTCGATACTTGTGTTGGTTGGTCCGTTCGATTGTGCAATCGATTTTCGAACGTAAAGTGACAGCCCTATCCATTACTATATTATATGTATACGTAAATATATATATTTATATATTCTACTAATGATACTGATATAATAATGGACTGAACAATTTTTAATATTTCAAATTAAGTGAGAAATCAAGTAATCTCTTGACTCATTTTTGTTTGCAACAATTTTTGCCACAATTTCCTTTTGTTACAATTGGCTCTAGTCTCCTCTATTTAAAAAAATAATAATAAAAAAGGTCCTATAAATATTGTGAAGGATAATTTTGAGGAAAAGGATTTCATGTGAATGTAATGGTCTGACACTAGAAAAACCCTACACTGAAAAAGATATGGTGAAAACTGACCGAATTTCTAGTGCTGTCCTCATCACTATCCTCATTTTCCGAGGGCTTCTCATCTGCCTCCTCCACACGACTCAAGTCATCCTCTCCGTAACTAGCCGACACCAATCCAAGATGAGATTCTGATTCTGCAGAACAAAAAGTAACCATTTTCAGTTCCACTAAGTCAAGATTTTCACAAGAACCTTGACTTCCATTCCTGATGATAGCAAGGGGTGTTACAACATACTACCAGTTTATCATCACCTTAAAATTAAACACTGAAATGTATTAACATTATATAACATAGAACAGAAAGAGACAAACTGAATAAGAAAATTCATAAATACATAAAGGCAGAAGTATGATTTTCCACATCACATGAAACAAACGATGAGCCAAATACGGTTTAAAAAATTTGGGTTTAATTGGATATAGTTACAACGGTAGGGTAGACTATTCTATAGTTAAAAGTTATTGTTGCTACTGTAAATCCATAATACATTAATATGAGATCTTTTTGATGACAGTATAGGTTAACACCAAGTTACAATCGTTTTACAGTCGTAACAAAGAACGTCACAAGCATAAAATTACTAGTGCTGGGCAACGATTAATCGCATACAAAATAAAAGTTTGTGTTTACATAATATATGTGTGTGTGTGTGTGTGTGTGTACTACTGTGTATAATTATTTTGTATTTATAAATAGAGTATATATTTAAGAATTTGTATTTATTTATAAAGTATTTATATATCATATACATTATGTATAAATGTAAATACAGTATATACACATTTCTTAAATATATACATGCATATTTCTGTATTACAAAATAATTACACAGATATATTATGTAAACACAAACTTTTATTTTGGATTCGAATGCGATTAATCGTTGACCAGCACTAAAAAAATACATAAAGTACCAGAGGAACATAGCATTAAAAAGAAACTTGATCATAAAGTAAATTAAATAGGGAACGAGTCTCTTTATGCGTAGTGCCCTCTACAGCACTCCACGGCCAAGTGTTCGTCGTAATAATAATAATTTCTTACTGGCCAACCATCAAGAAATAGCTAGTTCAGCTCATGACAGTAATATATTTCACAAAATAAGCTATTTACATGTAAATATTGTCTATTTCATCGCATTCGCTGTCATTTGTAGCAGCCCACACGTTAGCCTAACCACAACAACAAAGCCATCAGTGTTGTTACCAACCCCCGGTATTTACATGCTTTTTCTAACATTCATTAGAGCTTATACCTTGATCATCTGTGTCTGGATCTGAATCCTGCTCTGAATCATCCCCATAAGCAGCTAGTGAAGAGAGAAGCGCACTTCTTTTACTGCTCGCCATGTTCAGTGCTGGCGCACATCAGTGACGTTATGGTCTATATTTCATCTGCGCACGCTCGGCGTTGCGAAACGCGCGTCGCGTAGAACACGCAAGCCTGTTTGGTTTCCATAGGTTACCACGACGCTTTTAAAAACTTTGATCAGACATGCAAACTTTTGCATGAATTTACACTGTAAAAGTAATAGAACAATAACTGATTAATTACTTATTGGCAGTATTTTTGACAAGAGGCGCTATATTCAGTGTGTAATTAGTCAGTTAATGAATTTTAAGTTGATATGCCCCCCAAACGGAATAAAAGCATTACTCCGTCTGGAGTAACTCCAACTGGGACTGCTGCTGCTAACAAAAGCTGGGAAACGGCTCTTACTGATGCTGTATTTGACGAGGTAACATTTAACTTAAATTATGCTTAATAAACTGTCATGTTAAAACGTGTTTGAAATTTCTAACGTTACTTAACTGTGCTCAACTTAATGTTGTTGTTGTTCTTCTTCTGTTCTTCTTCTTCTTATATAACTCTGTCCTTTCTCACCATTATGTCCTTTCTCACCATTATGTTGTTAGGCTGAATGACAGTCACAGACACAGTCACTATTCACTTTCATTGTATACAAAAAGGTTCAATGAAGTGAATGGTGACTAAGGGAAGGTTCTTAGTCCCTGACATCCATCTGTTTTTGTGTACATCCCTTTAAACAAAGAAATGCTAAATCTTATAGCAATAGCCAACAAGCCAGTGCACAGCTTGTAAACACTGCAGAATATAGAATTGCTTCATCAGACAAAAAAATAAGTATTTTTTTCCCTCATCGGAATCATCTGTGACTCTAGAATGACTGGAGGGCCAGTCTGTCTATGGTGCAGGCAGAGAGAGCCGAGGACGAACAGCTCATAAACGCCCTCCAGCAGGCCGTCCAACAGCCCCTGCGCAAGCTTTTCAGTGTGCTGTCCTGGGAGGACACTCTGGAAAAGGTTTCTGATCAAATTATATTTCATTAATGAAGTAATGAAATATAAGAAATAAAATAAAAGAAATATTAGAATCAGTCGCGTAAATAAACCAATCTTTGGCATTTTTTGCGTAAATAAACCAATCTTTGGCAAACCAATCTGTGACACAGATCAATGAACTTGGAAATCCAAAGACCAGAAAGACTAAAGATGGTCCCATGTTTTTTGAGGTGGGTATTGTTATTACCATGACAAATTGTAATCTCAGTATAGCGTTAAAAATAATGTATAGATTTGTATTTTAGAATCATAATCATAATTTTCATAATGTCTTGTCTTTTGAGACCTTTAACCAGTTAGAAAGTAAAAATGACAAAATAATGTCAAATTATGTCAGTAATTTGTGCTTCTGTAGGTGACTGAACTTGCAAAGTCTATGATGGATGTTGGAGAGGAAATTACTGTGGACCTGATGGCAAAATTAATCAAGTTCCAGCTTCTGACCATCAAAAACAATGACTTTGCAAGACAGAAGGTGAGAGGTGAGCTTTTGCTGAGCAGAAGGTGAGAGCTTTTCACCATTAGCTAAAGCATGTATTGCAATGTATGTTGACTCATGTCATGGTTATTCTATTATTTCTCTTTATAATAAACAGATTGACACTTGATTTGTGTAATATTGTATACAACTGAAAGCTTTTAAGACTGATAACCAGATTGTGAACAATAATTTATGGAAAAAATACTATATTATGCAGGGGAGAATTACATTTACACTTAATATGTGATGACACAGATTTACTCTGCAAAATTCTAATCAAATATACTATGCAAACATTTTATCATACCTATGTTTTCTGATAAACAGTAACACAGAGTGTGTATTATTTAAGGCTGTAGAGGAGAATGCTCATGTTAAAGCGGGCCTGAATTCTGCCAGCAAGGATCAGGGGGGTAAAGGAGCAGCAAAGGGGAAAAAAGCTGCCGAGCCTCCAGTTCCAACTAAAGACACCAAACTCAAACGCAGAGGGGAAGAGGAAAATACTCTCAAATACATAGGTGAGGCCTGATCACAGTTACTTAAAAGGTTAAAACTAGGAATCCAGTTACCAAAAAAAAAACAAAAAAAAAACATTGCTTCTGGTTGAATATCCTGGAAATAGGTCAGATTTGAAAGTGAAATGGGTTGCAAATAGTGTTTTAATATTGAGTTTAAACATATCTGTCCAGATGATGAGCCTGATGACGGGCCAGAGCACTACATCCTGATAGTGGGATTCTACCAACCTCATCTGATCTCTGCACTGGACTCTCTGGGTATCCATGTGTCCAATGTTATAAAACTGAACTTAGAGAGAGAAGACCAATCAGAGGCAACAACGGAAACAGCGGCAGAGGAGAACCATCACTCACCTGAAGATCAGGGCAAGTTACTAAGAATTTCATTGAACTTATTCCTTTCAAATTATATTACATAGTGTATGTGTAGTGTATACAAAGGGTATACCTATACATCAGGATTTAAAGTCACCAAATTTGAACTTGTCCTGTGTTCAGAAGTTGAGATTCTTAAGCAAAGAAGGCAGCAGGAGCTAGATGTGTTCTGGGAGCAGTTGGATCAAGTCTTGAACAGTGGGAATATGGGATCCAGACTCAGTGATGTGGCCAGGTTGAACTATAGCGTGAAGATCCATTTGCTGCCGCAGGACAAAGACAATGCTGAAGAAATGGTGAACATGTACAATTTCTTATACCACACTGCACTTTACGCAGAATTTTTGTCTTTTTTTTTAGTACAAATATCTAAACATTCTTAAATCAAGATACACTGGAGAAGCAAAATGACTTAAGATATTAAATTTTACTCTCTGAAAAATGTATCCAAATGAAATGAGTTTATGCTTAAAACAAGAAAAAAATATCTGCCAATGGGTTAAAAAAATAAACTTAATTCGAAGGGAAAACAAAATTGTTTTTCTTACCCCAATTGCAGTTTTTTTTCTTGTTTTAAGCAAAAACTTTTTTCTTTTTTAGAAAACAAAACTAAATATCTAATGTCATTATGCTTCTCAAGTAAAGGTGCGCATAAGACCAGTGATTCAGCTTTTATTTAGTGTGCTTACCCCCAGTTTCACAGACATGGTTTAAGCTATCCCAGACTAAAATGCATGTTTGAGCTGTTTTAATTGAAAGCAACTTGCACTTACATATCTTAAAATATGTCAGTGCCATTGTTTTGTCTGCAGAAGTTTGCATATTACATTATAGTACTATCATCCACTACTGTCTGTAGCTGGCGTTTGGAGCTGCTATATTTAAAAGTGTGGCGTGTCTGGTGTATGACAGCCTGGACTGGAGGAGACAGTACAGCCATTATCTCAGCTGCATGAGGTTGATCCAGGTGCCTTTGTCCTGCAGATCCATCCCACAGTCCCGACCGCAGAGCTCCACTGAGGTAGACGACTGCCTTTACTGATAGTAGTGCTGATAATATGCCAAATAAACTAGCCAGTGATAAAAAAAACACTTTTTAATCAGTTAAAGTCCCCCTGTAGTCAATAATTTATCTCTTAAAACTAATCTTTGATCACCAAAATTACATATTTAAAAAAAAAATCCTTGAAAAAAAATCTTCTTGCCCTAAAAATAGCTTGAATGCAACTCTACACTCTTGCCTCGTGGTTCTATGAATATGTAAATTTGCCCCGCCTCCACTTATTCACACCAGCTCAGAGATCCACTGGTTGACGATCACAGGTTGACGTTATTGGTTACAAGGTAGTTTGTGATGTCAGAAATATCAGGGATTTCAAACTGCGTTTTTGAGACTGTCTTTGGTTCACTGCAGTTTTAAGGAGAAAATACTCAGCAATGGTGTTGACTTATGAATTTGCACATGATTTGTCTTAAAAACACCACATAGACATAAACAACATTAAAAGCTTGATTTTCACAGGGGGACTTTAATTTCAGAAGTGTATTGTGGCAGGATGTACATGTTGGTTTCTTGGTGCTGATATTTATCATGGTTTGTGTTTTAGGTTGTACAAACTCCAAGGAAGAAAGTAGTGTCAGAGGAAGACCCTGGTACAAGACATGTTACACTGATTCTGAGCTTTGGTTTTACCAATACATCCTTTACACACACACACACGTTGTGTTTTCATGTTTTATGGGGACTTTCCATAGACATAATGGTTTTTATACTGTACAAACTGTATATTCTATCCACTTACACAAAACCTACCTATTACAGAAAACTTTCAGCATATTTACATTTTCAAATTACTGTTTTCCTCACGGGGACCAAAAAATGTCCCCAGAAGGGGATATAGCCATCTTTGTGGAGACATTTTGGTACGACCGTACGACTGTTTGATTGACGCACTTACAGTCCAATAATTCTAGGTGGTCTTGGAAATGATTGGCTGGAGTTTTTCGAGTCCTACCCGTTCCACAGATGATTAAATTGCTTAATTTTTATTTCAGTGCTTCTAACTCAGTGGCTGTAAGTGGGTTAGGAATAGGATTTCAAGTGATTTTGAAAAAATGGTCAAAAAAGAAAATCACATACCCCACCTTTAATGTATTAACTAACATAAACTAACAATGAGCAATACATTAGTAACAGTATTTATTCATCTTTGTTAATGTTAGTTAAAATACAGTTGTTCAATGTTGTCCAAAGACATGCAGGTTAGGTGGATTGAACATGCCAAATTGGCCCTATGAGTGTGTGTGTGACTGTCCCAGCATTCTCAGTGAAGGAAGTCAGAAAGGGCATCGGGTGTAAAAGCTGTGCCAAATGCAATGTGTGTGTGCAGATAATTCAGATGGAGCGGACCCTGCAAATGAGCGGGACTAACACTAGGAAAATATATTCAAAATAAGAGCACAAAATCCTGTGCTCATTCACACATATTGTTCTCTGTTGTGTCAGTGTGTGCTCCAAAACTGACGTCTTAAACTGACTCTTTGAGTTTCCTCAGCAGAGCCAGAGTCTCCTGTTCAGAGCACAGAGGTTGATATGAGATACTACTGTGACCTACTGGACAGGATTCCTACTGAAATCACATCTGTATCTCTTGTATTACATTGCATGCTGGAGCAGGTGAGGGAACTTTGTAGGATTCAATATAACCTTTAATTTAAAGAGATAGAAGACTGTTAACCTTAAACTGTATTCGTAACATGAGTGAACAGACTAAAGAGACAAAAATTGAAGTGCAGACATTTCTGTAAACAAGCTGTTAAGTTCTTTTAAAATTTGTCAGCTAAATTTGTCTTGTTTCTTCCTGTGTGATGTATAGGTGGTGGCCTCAGAACAGGAAGTCAATGCAGGATCAGTTGATTCAGAGCAGCACTTTGATAGAACAGACCAAGATCTAATCAGTTATATGCTTTCATCTGTGTTGAGTCTGCCACAGGATGAAGAAGACAAGAAGGTAAAATGCCTGCTCACACCAATGGTACAACAACAAAAGTCACTGGGTTTCTAAATCAAAATCAATCTTTATTTGCCATAATCTGTGTTTGTTTGATGGCAGGAACTTATGAAGGATCTTGGGATGCAGAAAAGCCCAATGAATGCAGATCAGAAACACCCTCTCTTGCTCAATCACCATGATGAGAGAGCAAGGAGACTCCTTCAGCTTCCTGTGAGCATGTGAATATGCAAACTGTTTCCCATAAATGCTTGAAAGCACACACAAATGTTTTATTCTGCACATTTGCCCTCTTGGATATATCGATCATGTTTCAAACAAGCACATTTAAGCTTTAAGTCACCTATAAACAGTGTGTAAATACATAAGATGCAACTGACACAACTGTTATAAATAAAATCCTTATTCATATGTTGAATTCAGATCCTGGATGGTTTTGATGTTGTCAAAATTGAAGCGGACATCATGAAGCAAAGCCTTGTGTGGACCAACCTGATGTTCAGACACACTGAGAGCACCACTGTTAGACTGGCCAGATCACAGGAGCTAATGCACTTCTGCACTGATGGTGAGAAATAAGGACAATGACTTGCTGTTTTAATTGGACCTATAGTCCAGTTTTCTTCCTAATGCAATGACTTAATGTGTATCTCCAGAGTCACTGAGCTGGTCTGAGCTACAGAGGCTTCTCCAGCTGTTTGTGTTTGAGAGCATGCTTTTGACTACAGTGGATGAGAACGGCTGTATTAAAAGATCTCAATGGAACCTTTCAAACCCCACACCATGGGACAACCCTGTTGAATTCACCAAACACCTGTATTGGAGCAACAGCAGGACACCAGGTGTGAAACCAGCACAAGATCATTCATTGCAAATTCATTCAATTTCTAAACAAATATTTTTAAAGCAGCGTTGAAGTTTTTAATTGTACACATCAGTTGTTTTATTTTTAAAGGATCAGCAAAAAACAAAGCTGGGACTGACAAACCAACGGTATGATTGAAGTTTTGAAATAAAAAAGCTGAAGTTAAACATTTATCTTGACACTATCATTAACGAGTGATTGGTTTTTAATATCCTAATAACTTATATAGGATAATGAAGTAACTGTAACAGATCTCCAGAAGACCTTGATTCGTCAGCTGGGACACTGGAACTTTGTAGAGAAGCACAGTGCTTCTGTATTTCCCCAGGTACCCACCTTCAAATCTCTGCTTATAATATTTTTGCGATATAATTATAATATAATATTGTAATAATTTCAATATAATATTTTGAAAATCTGAGAAATTTTTATTAAAAAATGACAAATGAGTAATCTCTTCTCATATTCAGGTCCTTCAGTCTGCATCTGAGACTTATAGATGTGTGGACACATTTCACTGTACCAGAGACAATGCCACATATATCATCTGCCACAATCCCATGAGCCCTCAGAGGAGTTGCAAGGAATTCTGGGATACATCACTTCACACAGATGTGGGCTTCAGGTACTTTGTCTCATCTTAAAAGTTTTACATGGTACAATTACCCAAAGCCAATTTATTTCAACATTTATTTGCTTAACATTTTTTTAATAAACATTTTTTTAATAAACATTTTTACACTATCAAAATGTAAAAGATTTATTTATGGATTTCAAGTTTTCCTATATGTTGACAGTACTGGAATGAACTAAGAACAGTGAAATAATTGTATTTAAAAATAATTATATTTTGATATAATATAAAATAGTTTTTTATATTATATTATATTATAATATTCTTGTAGGAATTATTTGGAATATGTGGCAGACTCAATCAGTGAATGGACCAGACAGGAAGAGGAAAAATGGCAGATGGAGCAGGAGAAGAAAGAAGCGGAAAGAACTCCCATCCAAACCCCTTCAGAGGCTGACAGAAATACAGGCAACATATCTAATGTCTAATATATGCGTCTATAAGCAGGATCATGTAGATAACATCAAATATATATTAAAATATGTTACTATGGATATAATGATGTGCATGCTTATAATTGAATTTCTTTCTATTAGACTCTTCAGCGAAGTCCCCAATCTCAGACACATTAGAACCATATATAAGAGAGGATTCTCTCAAAGTGAGCTCAGATGTTGATTGTAACATATAAATATTTTAGTTATACACATTTTCAGATTTCATGATCCTTACACTGGTCCTTTTTCTGATGTATTTAGGCATGGAAAATTGACCAGGAGAGATTAAGGGAGGAGGAGCAATCCAAAAAGACAAAGAAAGAAAAAGGAGGAAAAGCAACACCAAAAGTAGAAGAGAGAATTGACTCAGTAAAGGAGAACAAGAAGACTTCAGTGTCCTCAAGAAAGAGTAGAGACAACATGTCCAAAACACCCAGCTCGGCTACTAAAGACAAAACTAGAGATGTTCCAGAGACGCCTCAAGAACCAGCAAATGAGAGAAAAACAGATGTCTGAAAATATATATAACCACATAAAATGCCCATAGTCTAGAATTGATGATGCTAAGTTTGAAATTAATTGGCTAAATGTTTGTGTATTTCACATAGGTATTCACAGGCTACAGTTTAAATGGGAAACTGGTGCAGGTCACTGGCAAAGTTCAGTCTCTCTATCCCTGTGATGGAGGACAAATAGATGTGGAGAGTTTTCACTTCATACAAGGTTTGAGAAATCAAACATGCCATGCACAATATACATTTGCTATTTTAGAGCTTCTTGTACATCATTTCTGTTATTTTAGATCTTTTATACCTTAATTATATGATTGGTTTCCATCTTAAGGAATGACACAAGTGAAGGTTTGTGTGAAGAAGGATGGCCATCAGTTCTACACAAACATTTCAGAGAGAAAAAAAGAGGACAAACTAAAGGATTTTGACATGTTCACTAAACAAGGTATGTGTTGCAAACATAATGTAACGTAATTTAGCCAATTTCATTCAGTAAAAATCACTTATATATATATTTTAATATTTACACATATTGTTTTGCCCAATTCAGCCACTCTTGGAGTCAAACCAGATTGTGAGATGGAGAAATATGGCTCTTTTTATGCTGTACTGGCCAATGGCATTCGACTCTCCTGCTGTCAGAGCAGCCCGAATAAAACAAAAAGTCAAGCTCTCCAGCTCACTGTGCCTAGTGCCTTCTGTACAGACCAACAGGAACAGGTGATTGGACAAACAATAATAATGGAAAAATGTTGGTTAGTAAGGATTTACATTAGTTAGGTGTAAGCTAGTTTAGCATGCAATTTATTTTAGGCTGATTATCATAACTAAATAGCCATTTTCTCCCTTACTAATGTTTCCTAGGTACCTGAGGTACATTGTGAGCCGATGGACGATTCCTCTCCTCCACCATTCCTGAATCTACATGTATCTCTTCCCAATGGACTTATCCTGCATTTTGATTGTGAGGACTCAGCAGGTGAGATATTTTCATTGATAAAAAGCTTGAGTACATAAAATTCATGCACCATAAGTTTCTTTCGATGCAGTACTTTTTTATGTCTCTAAATTATTTCTTAATACAATGAATAAAAGGAATTTATATTAGTTTTCTTTTATCATAAAATAACATTTTAAATAACTTAATAAAAGACACTGCACAGCAGGAATGACCCATACAAAACATTTTATTTCCAGTCTGTATTAATCATTGCAAAAGATCAATAAAAAAACCCCCACATTTCATGAAAATATATTTTGTAAACTGTCTATAAATGTAGAACCAGCGTTTAAGATTGAAGAATAGGCCTACGCTGTTTCAAGCATAGAGAGCAGCTGTAAGGTCATATCTTTGTTTTTTAGATGGGGAATCTTGTGTCCGATCTCTTCTGATACGACAGAGATTTTATAATGCTGGATCTAGTTCAGACCTGACCCCAGACTTCAGCACACACACTGAGGTCTCAAGGGTCATCACCGGCACAGGGACTGTCATCAAACACAAGAGAGATGGATCTACTGAGGTATTCACATATACACACGATTGCACGTCAAAAATGCACTTTTTTGCTACATAATACAGATAATATAGCACAAAAAGCACACTCCTAATGAAATCATGACTTCAGAGGAAGTATACAGTATATATGTGTGTATGTTTCAGGTCCTGTTTGCAGACGGAACCGTCAGTAAGAGTCCAGACTCTGGACCGGTGTGTGTGATGGTTCTACACATGCCCTTAAAGAAGGCGGAGCCTATCAAAGAGCTGACAGTGGACACCAAAGACACTAAAGACAAGAAAGGTAGCAATTAGCAAACACATGTACACATCTCTTCGAATATTGAAAATCTCTATGCATACTGATTTATTTATTCACACTATGTATGCACTACCATTCAAAAGTTTGTGGTTGTAAGATTTAATTTTTTTTGCCAAAAAACTCTCATGCTCACCAAAGCTGCATTTATTTGATCAAAATATTAAAAACAGTAATATTTGTTAAATATTATTACAATTTAAAATAACTGTTTTATATTTTAATAAATTTTAAAATGTAACTTTATCTGTGTTGGCAAAGCTGAATATTCAGCATCATTACTCCAGTCTTCAGTGTCACACGATCCTTCAGAAATCATTCTAAAATGCTGGTTTGCTGCTCAAGAAACATTTCTTATTATTATCATTGTTGAAAACAATATTTTTATGTAAACCATGATACATTAATGAGCAGAAAGCTGAAAAAGAACAGCATTTATTTGTTTATGTTTATTTATAAATGTCTTTACTGTCACTTTTGATCAATTTAATGGATCCTTGCTAAATAAAAGTATCAATTGCTTTAAAACAATGTCTTTTGTGGTTCACAGGCAAGGCTGATTCTAAGGTAAATATAGAGGATGAGCAACACATCTCTATAGAAAATGAAAAACCAAAAAACTCCGTTGAGATTACTGGAGGCTCTTGGACCACCACCACCCCCTCTGGCCTAAGAGTTGCCACTGTGGCAGGAAAGGAAGTCCAAGTACAGCCGATACTGGCCTATCATGCTACAGATCCCTTTAGTGGGACAGTGAGTGCCTCGTCAATTAGAACTAACATCTTCTGTGTCAATAGATGATTGTTGTAATACAAATGTTTCATGTATAGGTTGTGGTCACAAGAGAGGACAAAATGTTGTCTGTGTTGAAGAAAGATGGAACCGTGATAGTAGATCACGCAGATGGAACACGTATTACCACTTTCTACCAGCAGGGGAAGCTACAACAACAACTGCTCCCAGGTGCAAGAGTCTTCTTCATGCTGTACTATCACAAATAGTTCATACAATCTCGTCAGTAAGTAAGAGTTTAAAATCTGATTTCAGGAGAAAACCTGGTTAGAGTGGAGAAAGCTGATTTTGCAACGGTAATAATGAACTGTGAGGGAAGAACATGTGATGTTTTTTTCGGGGATGGTACTTCAATCACCGCAACTGCTCATGGATCATATAAAGTAAGAAGATGGATGGAAGAATATCTGTGACATATGTGTGAAGTGTGAACATCATTTGTAAATCCTCTCTCTGTCACTTTAATGTAGATTTCTCCTCGTGATGGCGGTGTCCTCCATATTGATAAGGATGGTGGAGCGGTGTACACATCTCATCAGTCTAAAGAGGGACCGGAGAAAGACCCACCAGGCCAATATGTAATGAACCACGGAGCAGATGTCCTCTGTCACGTGACGGACCCCGAGGGGAACTACTTTCAAGTACTTTCCATGATAATGTCTATAGTAAACATAAAAGCCAGGTTTCATTGGCAGGGCTTAGATTAAGCCAGGATTAGGCCTTAGTTCAGTTAGGGCATTTAAGTAGCTTTTATAAACATGCCCTATATAAAATTACTGGTATGCATCTTGAGACAAAACAATGGCACTGACATATTTTAAGATATGCCAGTACAAGTTGCTTTCAGTTGAAACAGCTCAAACATGCATTTTAGTCTGGAAACCGGGGGAAAATGTTTCACATTTTTTATTTTATATCATATTAACAATTTTAGGTTCCGCATGGTCATGAAAAACCTTCAAATTTTAGGTATTACATGACAGGACAGTAAATACACTATATATATATATATATATATATATATATATTAGTTATGGTCAGCGCTAAAATATTTCAGTTGGTTATTTCATCAACTATTTTTGCAAGCACAATCTTTATAAACCTTTTGTGTGTGTGTGTGTGTGTGTGTGTGTGTGTGTGTGTGTGTGTGTGTGTGAGTAAACCCTGTCAATTAAAAGTGTAGCTAACAAAGTCAAGAATATTTGTTTTTTGTGAACATATTGCAATTGATGTTACAGCTAAAATGATTTTTTAAACATTTGAGAGGATGTAAACATGACAGTGTTAAATATTTTGAGTTGGCTTTTATTTTTATATTTTGTTATGTGCTTTTCTAGTATTAACTTTCATCAAGGTTTTTAAGTTAAAGTTTTTCATCTGCTATTTATGTGTTTTTTTATTTCAGCTTCATTTTCAATAATGGGAAACAATTTTTAACAGACTCTTGTATCCTAGTCATTCTGAATAAAAACCCAGAACATGCTAATGCTGTGTGCAGGTTAATGCAGATAGTCAGATCACTGTCACGACTAACGGATCAGAAATGAGAGAGACAGAAACAGAGCTCCAACAGAATGCTGGCTCTAAAACACACCCACCCAGGTAAGTCCCTCAGAAAACACACCCAAGGTCACTTAAAATTAAAGGGATAGTCCACCCAAAAATGATGTTGTAACCAAACATTTTATGGTCTCCACTGATTCCATAGTATTTCTTATACTATGGAAAACAATGGGGACCAGCAACTGTTTGGTTACCAACATAATTTTTGACACTTCATGCAGGTTTAGAGTGTGTAAATTATGACAGGATTTTCGTTTTTTGGTTAACTATCCCGTTAAAGAAAAGCAGATTTTCTTAAGAGATTATTAATGGCTAAAGACATGAAACTAGAAGAGCTGTGTAGGAAATCAGGGACTACAGTTTGAGGTCATTTTAGAAAAATATTGGCTGCAGAATGCAGTGATCGACCAGTCAGAATCGAGTATTACAAGGCGTATTATATTTTGTTATTTTGAATGTTGACTTTTTTAATGTAGTTACATTATGTTATGCTTATGTTGTCACTCACAGATCTGTTGTGCAATCATTGGCTTTTCTTGTCCATAAACAGTACCGTACAAATGTTTTAGGCCACAAGAAAAATATATTTAAAACAGTTACGGCAGATTTTTTTGGAACGAAATTATTGCTTTTATTCAGCAAGGATGCTTTAAATTGGTCCAAAGTGATAGTAAAGACATTTATCATTTCAAATATATTTCTATTTCAAATAAATGCTGTTCTTTTGAACCTTCTGTCCATCAAAGAATACTGAAAAAGTATTCACACATTCCACAAAAATAACTGTTTTCAAAGTTAATAAGAAATGTAATAATATGAAATCAAATCAGCCTATTAGAATGATTTCTGAAGGATCATGTGACACTGAAGACTGTAGTAATGATGCTGAAAATTCAGCTTTGCCATCACAGGAATAAATTACATTCAAAAATATATTTTAAACGGTAATATTTCACATATTACTGTTTTTACTATATTTTGATCAAATAAATGCAGCCTTGTTGAGCATAAGAGAACTTTTGAACATTAGTGTATTTACTTAAACAAATTACATTGCATTTTATTATTTGCATTCCAAGTGAAGAATGAAAAACCGACTTGTTACTTTTTCTTGGGTTGTCATTTTGAGGTTGTTTGTGGTACACGAGGATGGTTCAGCTTCAGAACTGCTGAGAGCACAAGATATGGAAGATCTCCTACAGAAGGCTTACTGTGACTCTTCTATCGCCGTTCTCACTGACCCACTACCAGACTCACAACGTGAGGACAGTTTACATTCATCCTGTGCATATTATAAATGTTGTTTAAGGCAAGTTTGCATAAACGCAGCAAGTAAAATATCGAAATTATTTTTCTCCTGCATTGATTTCTCTTCAGAATCATTTGGCATCACTCTGCTAAGGCCCTGCCCAGAGATCAGCACTCATTGGCTCTCATCCAACCAAGATGATGACATCATTCCCACCAACCTCAAATCCAGGAAATGGGAGTCATTCCCTGCATCTGAAGTAATTCGTAATCTATAGGTGTTCCATCTAAACTTTCTTTTAGTGAATCTTTCTTTGGCACAAACAACCAGTATGTGTTATATTGTCAAAACAAATCCACATTAAATATCCCTTTTTTTAGCCCTCAAACATGTTTGGAAATGCCTATGTGTTTGAGTATGCAGTTTAATGTGAATCATCTATTATTTCATCTCTGGTGCTTAGAAGAAGACTCCAGGCCCCCCTTTTGGGACCACTCTTGGTTGTAGTCTCGAATTAAAGGAGAAACCCTTGAAGTCTTGTTCCATCCGCATTCAAACAGTTTTGGAGTGCCCTGACTTGCTGCTGGTGCGTCAGATTACCCAGCACCCACCTGTCACTGAACCACTGCGCAGGAAACTACAAGACAAAGTCAAGGTGCTCTAATTCCTGTCACAAAGTTAACCTTTTTTAACCTTCCTGTGTTAATATAGTGTGTCGTTAAAACCACAATATTACCAGACCTCACTAGTGTTCTCTTTTCACTTCCCTTCAACCTACTTTGTTTGTCAACTGACCAGTTACTAAATGTAATTCTTTTTTTAAAGTGTACGCAGTGGTTTGATTTAAACATTTATAACCATACCTATTTATATATCACTATTTTCCCATATGGTTAAAAAAAAAAAGTTCTGACCTGAATATATTTCAAACTAATGCTAAATATATGTTGAAAACAGTGTGGCTTAATAAAATCGGTTTTGTTTAAACCTTCAAATGCCAAAATATTTTATAAAATGTACTTTAAGGGTCAAGAAAATACCATTTCCAAATTTTAAAATACATTCAGGGTAAATGCTAAATGTTTATATATATATATATATTGAACGATTTAAATATATTTAAACGGACAATATATAAAATATATATTTATGTAAATATATTTAAAAAAAATATATAGCATATATATATATACTGTATATGTATATTTGCTCTATGGGTTTACTCAAACAGGCATATTTGGAGCAGCTGCTACAGAGAGAGAATGAATGGGAGAAGATGCAGTTGAAGGACCTTCGGACAGCAGTGGAAAAGGTTCATCAGAATGATCTACTGCAGCTTGTACTGGTCAGACAAGATCCAACGTCATATTCTTAAATGAATTACTGAAATTCAGATGTCTGTATTCTAGTCTGGCTTACATACATTTAAACTTTGTTTGTTTTAGTCCCTGTCTGATGCTGTAGATCCTCCGGTTGAAATGGAAATTAAGTCTCTTTCAGGTGAGAACATTTATTTATTAGAACATACATTCTAAATATAATTATAAAATAATATTTATTGTTTAAAAAAGAAGTTAAAGGTATCCACCCAACATAATTTACTCACCCTCAATTTGTTCTAAACCTGTTTGAGTTTCTTTCTTCTGTTGAACACAAAAGAAAATATTTTGAAGAATGCTGGTATCCAAATAGTTCCTTGTCCCCATTGACTTCCATAGTATTTTTTCTCTATACTATGGAAGTCAACGGGGACCAGCAACAGTCTTTATTTATGTTCAACAGAAGAAAGTACTTCATGCAGGTTTGGAACAACTTGAGGGTGAGTAAATTATGACAGGATTTTCATTTTTGGGTGCATCCCTAAAAAATAATAATAATAACACTTTATTTAATCATTCATTAATGGTTTAACCCTCCGATGCACGGATTATTGAATTACAATATTTTAAAACGTATTTTTATATCAAAAATAATAATCATCAAAAATAATCCACAATTTTGTTTAAATTATGAGTTTGGAGAGTGTTAAAGATCTGTGCTCTGCAATATTAAACAGCAGTAAAAAAGTAAATATATGATTTTTAGCTCTGTTAAGCTCTGTCATTGGTCTCACCTTCACAGTTTGTCTGTTTTTGTTCCTGTTCCAGCTGATGTGGCGTCTCTCTATACACAAGCAGTGCGAGCAGCTCAACACCCCCACAAGCTACAGGAAAAGACAGAACAGAAAGTTTTGTTGTAAGTGGTATTGTTCAGTATTTACTCATCTTATCTACACATGTAATATCTGTAAATGTAGACCAGAATGAGAGTTATTAAAAACATGCTTATCGCTCAACATTTTAATGGGTAAATTTGCTCAGCCAATGGATTAGAATTCATAGATAAGATGCGACTGAAAGCGGGAAAGCTTGTGGTGACTAATTGCACTTGTACGGTTTGCTTTCAACTTCTGCTTTAACAGTGTCAGTAAAAAGAAGCAAAAGTCAGTGTGGGAAAAAAGGCTTAACCAGAACAGGTAAACAGTTATTCTGTTTGAACGGTTTCGGTTTGAGAAGCTCAAAGCAGGTAATGCATAGATGTTTTGTTTGTCCAACCTTCAGGCAAGAACTCCAGGAGCAGAAAAGACACCGAAATGCACTCAGACACCATATTGTTACTCCATACTTTCACCCTGAGCTGAAGGAGATTGCACTTTTTACAGATGAGGCTAGTACCACCATATGAATATTTAATCGTAATCATTTTGTCTGATTGTCTTTGTAACTTTTTCTATCAAATACTGTTTATTTAGAGCAGGGATTCCCAAACTTGTTTGCCAGTCGAACCCCTTTGACGTAAAATATTTACTCAAAGTCAAGCAGAAATAAAATTTGAAATGTTGCCTTGGCAATAAAATGAAATGTTTAAGTTGAAGCACTAAAATTATTAACTGGAAATAAATTCAAACTAAAACTGATACAAGAATAAATGAAACCTAACCAATAAAATGACAAAAGCACATAATGAAATTACTACAAATTAAACTAAAATTAACATGAAAACTAAAAATATAAAAATATAATTCAAATTATTAATAAGAAACTATAATAAAAATTCAAATAACGCTGCTTGAAGTTCATCCAGACATTTTAACTTATTTCAGTGCATTTCATATTTTTAAGAGATTTATTTTGAATGTTTGTATTTAAAAGTGATTTATTTAAATTTTTAAGATTGAATTATTAGCTGCCATTAAATGGGTGTGCACGGAAATGCTTAGTAAGCTACATGTGATAACGAATGATTCAGCAGAATAACTGCACATAAAAACTGCACTTGCTGTGCTTTGTAAACAAGTCTGTGTGCTCATGAAGAAGTGCTAATTTTAAAATTGCAATTAAAACCACAAATGATCACCTTTCAGTGATGGCAATATTTTTTTTATATAATCTCAGACTCAGTGGACAAACTTTATGTGGTAAAACATGATTTCTGTAAATGATACACCTGTAGCAGAAAGGCCAGTGTTTGAAACAAGGAAATCCCCTCACTGCTGTAAGTCAGTCCGCTTCGGTTCTTCTATTGCAAGAACACTTCCTCTAAATGAAAGCAGAAGCGGCAAAGTGATTCAAGACTCATACACCAAAGCAAACACACATGCAATGCAGTTGTATAGTGACTGAGAGAGGACAAAGGCTGGTATTGAGATGACTAGTTCCAGGTGGGTCTAGAGAAAGTAAATAGAAGAAAAAAAATAGAAATAGAAGAAACTGGTTCAGCTGGTAGAACAGCATGAAACGTATTTTTCTGTGGACCTGTTTGCTAACACACTGAGGTGATGTGGTAAATATTTAATCAAATCAAACCGAGGATTTTCAACCTTCTCAAGCTACAAATCGGAGGCACAGGAGCGAGTTTGCAAGGTAAGTCACCTTGAACATGTTGTGTTTCTGTCCTACAAGCCACATGAGCGTGATATCCTTTGATGTCCCATAATGCTTGCTTTCATTTCGTAGAAACACCTGTTAGACGTCAGTTCACAGCATGAAAGCTATTGTAAGTTAGCAAGATGTGTTTGAAATTAATAAACAGGAAACATTAAGGAAATGCTTAGCAAACTTCTACTGAAATGCCAAGAAATGTAGAGGCAGTAAGTGTTCATATATATATACAGTAGTCAACATTTAAAGTGGAAAAAATTTTTAATCAAAGTTGTCCTAAGACAAGAACGGGTATTGTTCAAAATTCATGTATAAATTTGATGAAAGGTTTTGATCCACTTCAAATGTTGACTACTGTGTGTGTGTGTGTATATATATATATGTGTGTGTGTTTGCTCTTAGCAGTCTGAACAAGTTTTTATCTGCACAAAAACTCAGATTAAAGGCAATTTATGAAAATTTCACATGCAAAATAAAATATTTGCCTATGTTGCATTTATGGAGAAACTGTCTGTTGAAAGACTTGAGTTTCCGGAGTTACAGGAAGAACTAGTAAAGTAAAAAAAAAAAAAAATGACTGATGCAACGTATTTATTAAAACATAAAAATATATATATAAAAAAGCTTCAAAACTGAGTTTTACTTGTACCACAAGATTCTTTTTATTTCCTATGGTGAGAACAGCTCAAATTCAACAACTTCCTCTTAAAGGGATAGTTCACCCAAAAAATCAAATGCTGTAATTATTTATTCACCCTCAAGTTGTTCTAAATCTGTATGAATTTCTTTCTTGTGCTGAACACAAAAGAAGATATTTTGAAGAACGTTGGTAACCGGACAGTTTCAGGTCCCCATTTATATCTATAGTATTTCTTTTTTTAAATTCCGTATACTATTGAAGTCAATGGGGACCAGAAACTGTTTGGTTACCCACATTCTTCATAATATCTTTCTTTATGTTCAGCAGGAAAAAGAACCTCATGCAGGTTTAGGACAACTTGAGGGTGAGTAATGACAGATTTTTATTTTTGGGTGAAGTATCCCTTTAAGAACACATTTTAGCGTTGATGTACTGGAAGCTCACTGGATAATTTACTTTATGTTGCATGATGCCATTAACATTTTTCAACAATGTTCTTGCTTGCTAGCATATTATCCATATATGAAGGTTGTTACTTTACAGTATCCAAAACTATGGAAAAGAAGAAATAAACATACAGTGACTTTCGTACTTATATTGCCCTCTAGAGGTTGGGGCAACATTGGTTCTGTGTTTTTATTGTTTAGTGAATTGGTCTAAAAAAAGTATAGTCAGTCCCTCTTCTAGACCTGAAAGGTAAGATGTTATTGTAAAATGATCAACTGCCTTGGGGTGTGTTTCCCAAAAGCATCATTGGCCAACTATGATAGCAATTTCCATTGAACTCTATTGGTTACTTACGATGGAACTTGCGACCATAGTTGGCTTTGGGAAACGCACCCCAGGTCATTTTATGACTTGTGTCAAAAGAAAACGAGACTGGGGTGTAATGTAAGAATTATTTCCTGTTATAAGCAGGATCTTTACACAGAGCGCCAAATTTGACCTGTTTTGTCAATGCCGGGCTGAACAACAGCCCTCCTGCAGAAAGGAGAAAGTAACGTTAGGCCTATCATTAAATAATAGCCTGCTTTAAGGTAAGGGTGTGTACCGCACACGTGTCGATGCTTGTCTGTGTAGCTGCTAACGTTACCGCTGCACTCCACAATACATTTAAAGCACTTCTCAAATTCCAATGCAGTTTATGTCATGGTTTATAGTTCGTGCGGAGTAAAATATGTATGTGCATTTACATGCACTTTAAAAGCTCAATATCAGTCTAACTAAAGCAATTATTTACTCGGACCTAAATCGTACCAGTCTGTACTAGTCTGTTTTGTAAACAGGCCTAGAAATTGCACTGGTAGGCTATTAATAGCCTAATATTCTAGTAACTCACCTTCGTCCAGCATGGTGTTCTGCGCATGTTCAGAAAGCAGGATTCAGTTTGAGGATGATCCTCACAAAACTTTTCCTGCAAGCTTTTTTCCAATGTAAATTTAAAAAATTCTTTTTAATAATTCACATTTGTTGTATACAGTGCAATGTGCAACAGAAGAAACTGTGAGGAAAAATAAATGTTACATTTGTTTAGAGCTACAAGTGGCTGCGATACCAATGAACCGGACCACATGGAGATGCCATCAGACCACTAACTTATACCAGCCTTGACCAGACTGCAAATAGATAGTATAGTGATCCGTTCAAGAATTATTAAACACACCAAAACACAAATGAAAAACATTCTGAATGTGTCGAAACTGTCATCAGTGAACAGTTCCTCTGTCAGAGTGAGTGTTCGTGTCTATGCTTCAGTGTTTGATATGTAGGCCTACATAAACACCACTTACGCTCGCAAGCTCATATACGCTTCTTCAGCGAATATCCATTATAAAACATTCATCAGAGATGCGACCATACTGAAAAGTGCTCGTGCAAGTAGCAAGTACACGATGCATTGATAATAACGGACTCACGTGTGCCTAATGTACGACAACTGTATGTCACTTTAATCATTCTTTACCTTGATTACTATCGTCATCCGTCGAAACTTTACAAGTGACACTCACTGATTTGCTTATTATCCAAAAAAAACCTACAGACGACGTCGACGAGTCCGGACTCCGGACTGGAGACTAACCCCCAATTTCCACCAACTGCGGAACGGCTGCGGATCCGCTCCGGAACGGCGGCGGAGTCAATAGGTTTCCATTCAAGTCAATGTGTGTATTTTCACTGACTGCGGAACGGCTGCGTTCCGACTCCGTCCCAGCTCCGGCGACCGCAGCCCTCCAGAGCAGATACGCAAAGTTTCTATTTTTGCCGGATGCCGGAGAGCGCCGCAGGAAGTCGATAAACAAAGATAACAGAACAGAACACAGAAACTAAATAAAACATCCGGTAATTTCCAAAATAAAAATATAGTTTTCCCTTTTCCAACAAGAACGTCTCTGGTTACTCACGTAACCGTAGTTCCCTGAGAGGAGGGAACGAGACATTACGTCTGGGGAAATCCATTTTCCTCGAATCATGAAGTCTGATAGAATAACTCTTTTGCTTGCAAATAGCCAATGGCGGTCCCGCCATCACCTGATTGGCTGACACTGCTCAATATAGGTGACGGCGGGCGCCAAAAACCTCAGAATCTTAGCTGAACGAGAGTAAGGAGACTAAGAGTCCCTCCCACACGGCAGGTTACGTAATGTCTCGTTCCCTCCTCTCAGGGAACTACGGTTACGTGAGTAACCAGAGACGTTCCCTTATCGAGTCGGTCTCTCGACATTACGTATGGGGAACAATAAAACCCCCGCCGCGTGGGAGAAACCCCGCCCAGCTCTCAGGAACAGACACCGGACCTGGTTGAAACATCTATTGGCACAGAGCCAACTCGGCATCTGCACCAACGAAGGCCCCTCCCATCAAGCTAAGCACGCTGAACTGAATGGAGGGAGATTGCAGCAAGTGATTGGTGCTTAGGAAAATACTGCCGGCTATGAATGCGGACATAACAAAGGGCACAATATAGTGAACATGATAGCTATGCTAATAATAACTCGCACTGTCTGACGACTAGTCGAACCGTGGCTAGAGCGCGCCATCGGGGCAGTCTAGCCTAGTCCAACGACAGCTCAGCTTTCTCTCCCTGCACTGACAGAATGAAGGGAATGAAGTGCGAATGAAGGGATATTCAAGTTATAGAATCTCGCGAAGGTATTACGAGACGACCAACCTGCCGCGAAACAAATGTCTTGAATAGACATGCCTTTCGCCCACGCCCATGATGACGCCAAACTCCTAGTGGAGTGGGCGTGCACCCCTATAGGGAAACGGCTTCCCGTGAAGCATAAGCCAGCCAGTGCACAGCCTCCACTATCCAGTGAGATAGCCTCCGTTTCGACAGCGCAGAGCTGCTCTGAAGTTCGAAACTGGCTAGTTCTGTTCACATAAGCACGCAGTGAACGCATGGGGCACAAGCGTACTTCTGAGACTCTGAAACACTGACCTCATCCGGGCAAAATGCTGGAATTGCAACCACCTGGGCTCTGATGAATATACGCAGTAGATAATAGCCCCATAATAGCATAGCACCTCAGTAAACAACAAACACATAGCCGTAGCTACAACTGTGAGTAGACGAGTTAGCACAGAATAGCCAGTTGTACTGAAGGAAACGGGGCAACATAACAGCATAGCACATGTACGTAACAGCATCGGTCGCTGTAGCGCATCCATGCATGTACATAACGCAGCATAAGTCGCCGTAGCGACAGAACTGCGTAGAGACAGAAACTGAGATGTACAGTTCGATCAGGATGGCTAGCTGCACGGAAACGGGGCAGCATTACAACATAACACATGGTAAATTGCACATCCGTGTACGTACATACATTCAGAAACTGTGAGTATGCACAGTAGATTAAGATAGCTAGTTTTGCACTGAAAGAAACAGAGCAACAAAATAGCAACACGCGTCCTTATACGTACATAAGTGCAGTGTAGTCGCTGTAGCGACAAACTGAATATGCAGTTAGATAGGATAGCTGGTTGTTGCACTGAATGATAGAGGGCAACATAACAGCATAACACATCAGTTTGCACATTTTAAACATCTGTGTGTATAATGCAGCTCAAGTTGCTGAAGCGACCGAAACTGAATGAATATGCGTACACAATGGTCCATTACATTGAAGGGAGCATAACGCTTCAATATCTACACAGATGCAATGCAAGTCGCCGTAGCGACGACTGAGACTATGCACAAGCATAGTTACATTTTTGTGTACAAAAAACACAGTGTCAGAGGCATAGCGACATCGACTGTAAATACGTAGTTAATCGGAATAGCCGGCTGCACTGAGGATACAGGGCAACATATAACGGCATAAATCATAGACACATATCAATGTACATAACACAGCGTCTGTGGCATCGCGCAACAACTGTGACTACACAGTAAAAGAGTAGCCAGTTGCACTGAAGGATACAGGGCAATATATAGTGGCGTAATAGTTACACATATCAGTGCGTTGTGTGTACACAGCGTCAGTTGCATCGTACAACAATTGTGAATATGTAGTGATCAGAATAGCCATTTGCACTGAAGGATAGGGCAAAATATGACCGCATAGATCATAACACATATCAGTGTGTAGTGTGCACAAACACAGCGTTAGTTGCATTGCACGACAACTATGAATACGCACTGCGTAGTAATCAGGATAGCCATTTGCACTGAATGACACAGGGCAATATATAATGGCATAAAACATTACACATAACAGAGTGCGGTGTGTACAGCGTCAGTTGCATCGCACGACAACTGTGAATACGTACTGCGTAGTAATCAGAATAGCCATTCCACTGAAGGACACAGGGCAATATACAACGGCAAATTCATATAGTGTGCAGTGTGTACATAAACACAGTGTCAGTTGCATCGCGCAACAACTGTGAATACGTACTGCGTAGTAACCAGAATAGCCATTGCACTGAAGGATACAGGGCAATATATGGCATAAATCATTACACACAACAGTGTGGTGTGTACGTAACACAGCGTCAGTTGCATCGCGCAACAACTGTGAATACTTACGGTGTAATAACCAGAATAGCCATTGCACTGAAGGATACAGGGCAATATATGGCATAAATCATTACACACAACAGTGTGTAGTGAGTACGTAACGCAGCGTCAGTTACATCGCGCAACAACTGTGAATACTTACGGTGTAGTAATCAGAATAGCCATTGCACTGAAGGACACAGGGCAATATATAATGGCATAAATCCTTACACATAACAGTGTGGTGTGTACGTAACACAGCGTCAGTTGCATCGCGCAACAACTGTGAACACGTACTTGCAGTAATCAGAATAGCCATTGCACTGAAGGACACAGGGCAATATATAATGGCATAAATCCTT